ACTCAAATCACCGTTCTTCCCCATACTGATGCTCGGTTTGAACTGCAGGAGATTGTCTTGACCATGTCTACATGCCTAAATGCACTGAGTTACCGCCATGTGATTGGCTGATTAGAAATTAAGTGTTAACGAGCAGTTGGACAGGTGTACCTAATAAAATGGCCGGTGAGTGTACATCATCTGCAAAAAACTAGAGACGAGACCCATCCTGTTCATAATGCAGGCTGAGATTCTGTGGCCCCAAAGTCAATAAATGAGATCAAATTTGAGCCAAAAAATGTGGTTTGGTTCTAGTGAGATCAGACAGTTCTTGTAAGCTGCCTGGCACCCTATTAACCCCACCCCCACAGCACCTGCCACAGAATGACTCAGGTAACACAGCTGAAGGCTTTCTCCAGGTCCACAAAAGGACCAGAGGTCGCTGACCCTGTTCCTCATGACCCACTGTCCAGCATGACTTAACTGTGTCCCTGCTTCAGAACACCTGATTCAAATAATTTAATTACCTGCTCAGAATGTCATCAAGTCTACAGACGATCCCTCAGTTATTTCAGTCGGTTTTGTTGAAGCAGAGAAACTTATCACGTGTCAAACTCAAGGCCCATAGGTCAAATGTGGCCCGCCACAGCATTTTATGTGGCCCACGAGAGCTTTAAAGATGTATCAATGTCTTAAAATAATCTGCTTTAAAGCCATGGCCATAAACAACATCTCCCATAATGCAATTTGACTATTTGATCTTTTTGTAAATTACTATTGTTTGAATTTATTATTGGGGAAAAAGGGAGAGATATAAGATAGTTTCCTTTTTTCTGCTGCCTTTCATTTAATTTGTGTTTTTTTTTCTTCTAATGTATATATAATAATTTTGTTTTAAATTCAATTAATAAATCTTTAAAAAATGGCATCCCACCACTAGGTGGAGCTCCACAGGGTTCAACCGGGGACAGGGTTAGCTGATGAAATTTGAGTGTAAAATCTTCTTTTCACTGGCTACACTTGCTGCAGCTCATTTATAATGGGAAGTGGGAATTTCCCACTTACATGTCGTAAATTGAAAGTGGAATGCTCCTCCAGTGGGAATTCCCCGTTGGAAAATGGGAGAGTTCAGAAGTCAAGACGGCGGCCACTCACCACAACTCAGTGAGTAAAACTCTCCTACTTTTACTTTTAATAGTATTTCTGTTTAATTTATTTCACATTTAGTCAGTCATATACACGTAGTACATTTCAGCGTTTATAAAAGGACGTGTTAAAACACTGTTTCTATGCAGGAAATACCACGTAGAGCTCAGTTAGTGTTCATTAGCAGTGCTCAGGAGCATGTTTCTTGTTTCGTTGAAGTTTATTACAACCATAATGCTCATGTGGCCATCTGTGAAAATTAATTTTGACACCCCTGATCTAAAGCACGCAGGACAGAGGGTCAGGAGGAACAGGGTTGAAGACCTCTGGACTAGACTGTCAAATTCCAACGATCCACCTCAGGAACTCTGTAGAAATGAAGATAAACAAAACCCGAGAGACTCCCAACAGCCTGATCTGAAAATTAAAAACGTCTATCTCTCTGCCCACCCCAAACGAATCTACGTGGACTTAAATAAAAACGGTGTTTGTCTTACACGACTGTGGTACACTGGAGGGGGTCTGTAATTTGCTGGGACTCAGACCGCCCGCTGGAGGACCCATCGTCAGACTAGCGGCGAAGCGAGTCTCGAGCTGGCTGCTCGTCGAGGACGTCTCAGGGACGGACGTGTCATCGTGACGCTCGGACAAACACGTCTGTTCATCCCAGCTGAGATAAAATAAAGAGACAGCTGAGAGCCTAAACTGTAAAGCTTCTGTGGATTTCAGACTGATTAGATACCCGTCTGAAGAAGTGCTGCAAAAGAATTTCTGGATCCCGTTCACAAGCTCGCCTTTTTCCAACTCATCAACTGAAGGTGTGGACGAACCGACAAACCTGAGAGTAAAGATTTTAAAAAAATAGTTAAGACGTCCGAACAGCAGCTGGTATGAAGGAGTTATATGGGATAAATCTTGTTCCAGCAGGAACTGAATTTGAATTGCTCAGATTGAATCTGAATGTGCATCATTTGAAATTGAATGCATTGGTTTGAAAATGAATTTTACTCAATTTAAACTGAATTTAAAGTTTTGTATTTGAATTAATCTGCTTTGAAACCATATTTTGGTTTATTAAAAATTACGTTTTGCTACTTTTACTTTCAGTTCCATAATTCAGATTTTTGTGTCACATCCTGGTCCTTGAGAAAGCCAGGCAGAGTAATTAAACACAGATCCACAGATTTATGTTTCACTTTGGTGAAGTTTCCCTTCTGTATGTAACAGAGTTGATGCAATCCACTGTAAAAGTGACAAAAACAGACAAAGTTATTTTATTGCAGTGATTAATTTGACCTATATGTAGAAAATGTTACATTTACATCACATCATGGATCGGTCAGCAGCAGCATCTGATCAATATGTGATCCATGATGTGATGTAAATGTAACATTTTCTACATATAGGTCAAATTAATCACTGCAATAAAATAACTTTGTCTGTTTTTGTCACTTTTATGGTGGATTGCATCAACTCTGTTACATACAGAAGGGAAGTGATAAATCTGTGGATCTGTGTTTGATTACTCTGCCTGGCTTTCTCAAGGACCAGGATGTGTGACACAAAAATTTGAAATTCGGAACTGAAAGTGAAAGTAGTCAAACTGAATTTTTAATAAAGCAAAATACAGTTTCAAAGCAAATTAAGTCAAATAATTAAATCTAGTTTCAATTTAGTGAAATTTATTTTCAAACCAATGCATTCAGTTTCAAATTATGCACATTCAGATTCAATCTGAGCAATTCAAATTCAGTTCCTGCTGGAACAAGATTTATCCCATACAGTTAAATCATGTCCAACCTGTAGAGGGCGCTCTTGCTGTCCTGGAATACATCCCGGTTTTTGTTTTTGCCGAACACTTTTGTTCCCACGGCCTCGAACACCTTACACTGCAGCAACGCCTGGCACACACACACCACTTTGTCCCGTGACACACTCGCACCTTCAAACAGGAATAAACATCACAAAACATTAGAAATAATGTAATAACTCAAATACTCGCTATGAATGACTCGGCTACTTCCACATCAATATTTAGCTCATCTGCTAATGTTTAGCCGTGGCAGCCATCTTTAATTTGACTGCCTCCAAAAGCCAATCAGTTTATGTTTGAGCCGATGAATACAGCGGTTCGTGAGATATTTTGCTAACAGAGAGACACACGGACACGAGCAAAGACATCATCCGCCTTTTGGCAGCAGATAATCCGGAGTGTCACCCATGACGGTACTCACCCTCAAGGCCCCTGGCGTTGGCGAGGTGTTCTGCCACAACGTCCGCGGCCTCCGAGCCGAGGAAACACTCGTTGTGGGACTTGAGGTGGACAAGTCTGCGTTTCACCGTCACAGTGGACCTGAGGTGGGACACGATGCCGCTCCATATGGACGAGGACTGCACAGGCTTGGTGGTCCCTCCTGGACCTACAGGGCGGCAAGAAGCACAATGCTGGATTAAAGCTAAAAGAAGCCAAATTTAGCTTAAAAAAAGTAAAATAATTAGCTAATATTAGCTTGACTGAATGTTAACACAACAAGACTGATGTTAAAAGGTAATTCCAACATTTTAAGCTAAAATATTGTTGAGTTCATCCAGGGGTGATGCCAACCTTAATTTTATCTCATTATCTTTAAAATTGACTGGATTAAAACTATTTTGGTGTAGGCTAAATCGCATTAGCTTTGGTGGCCATCTTGAAAGTCTTAATCAGTAGATGTTCATCCTTGGGTGACTTTCTGAAAGTTTTGTGAAATATTTTGCTAACAGACAGAGCTGGCTCCAGATGAGGGCACCATTTTAAAAACAGACCACATCAAGTTTTAGACAAATAAAACTACACAGTTATGTAAATGTTGCCAGTGTTGTATAAAATACCACAAAGTGATACTTGAGTACAAGTATCTTACCTAAAAATTACTTTTGTGAAAGTTGAAGTCATCTTTAGGAATATTACTTGAGTAAAAAATCTTAAAGTATCTGATATTTTTTGTACTTAAGTATTAAAAGTAAAAAGTATTTATTTAAAATGAGCAGTTAGATTTTCTGTAATGACGTTTATTAGGAGGTGACCTCCCCAAAAATGCAGAAATGACTGTTTTATATTAAAATAATTAATTGATATTAAATTTAGGATGCACTAGTCCAGCTGTTTCAGTTTATATACACATATCAAGGCTGCACAAAACTTTCCCCCAAAATGAAAATCTATCTGAGGGCTGCGGCCAAATGTAATAATTTAATTCATGAAATACAAATACTAAGTACAGTCCTTTTATTTTAATCCTGCTGGAGTGTGACATGATTTGTTTGTGTACAAACTAATACGCTATCAGAGTTTTATATATTTATACTTCTCATTAAACCACAGTTAAATTCACTCTAAGAGGCACAGTTTATATGGATAGTTTTTATTTTTTACAATAAGTTGCAATGAAAACAAGCAAAATGAACAACTTTCTACTTCTTGCCTTTTTTTAAATGTAAGGAGTAGAAGTAAAAAGTAGGCTGAAAAATAATTACTCAAGTAAAGTACAGATACCCAAAAATTATACTTAAGCACAGTAGCAAAGTATTTGTACTTAGTTACTTTACAACTCTGAATGTTGCCCACATGATGTGATATGAAACAATATATTCCCCTTATTGATTAAACTAAGGCAGGACCGTCATATTTACCCTCCAGGTGTTTCTACTTTAAAAGAAAAACACATTTTAGAAAGACAGAATTAGGACAAACCACAGGACAGCTCCTCTGACATCAGAAACAGGAATATAATTATATTTAACGAGTTAAACTTTTTTTGTTTTTCCAAGGAAGAACCCAGAAACCTCGCCACCTGCGTGCTCTTTGACTCTTTAAACACTAATTGGCTCACCTTGAGGACGCACGCACAGTTTCTCTGCCAGGTTCAGGGCTGCAGCTCTCTCTTTGATTGAAGACATTGTTTTCTGTTTTAAATAATGGACGTGAAAAACCGAGGAAGCAGACTGAGACAAACAAACACGCCGCGGGTTCGGGTGCAGTTTTAGGTGACAGCCTCTAGGTGGCAGCACTGACCAGATGAGGCTTCTTCAAATTAGGGTTTGCTTCACAATAAATCTTTATTTATTACAGGTTTAATAAAACTTTTGTGAACAGTAATGACAGTAAATAAGAAAAATGCAAACAGAGCAGTAAACATAAAAAAACAAGTGGTTGTTGAAATAGAAAATAAGATTAAATCACATCACAAAAATCTCAAACATTATAGAATGGAAACAAAAATGCAAATGAAGATAAAATTCTGTAACAATTTGAATAAATTAGAGTTATTTTATATTAATTACGTATCAGTTTATTTCCAAATACTCATCATTGAGAGGTTTTACACCATGCTGCATTCACGTGCTCCAGGAAATATCAGCTTCATGTGAGCCACAAGGATGGGAAGACACAGAAATCATGTGTAATTTTTTTCCTTTTATTTATTACCATTACTTTTAGACTCTATTTGCTTGTTGAGTCTAAAATCTCTCATTCTGACCTTAACTATTACTCTTTATAGAAATAAATAACTGCAAAAAAACTTTGTACATGAGAGCAGGAGGAAAATAAGGCTTGATGAGCAAACCTTTTGTCACATTACAGTTACTGCATATGCACAAATTTCTTTAAATAAAAAAACAAATATGTCACACTGTAATAAAAAAAAAGATATCAGCTTTTATTAGACCAGCACAGGTGGGACAAACTGACAACAGTTTAGTTGTATTATTATCATTTGATTTGGGAACAAGCAGCTGGGAGAAGATGGGGCAACTATAAATCAATTAATGAAATAAATGTAAATATGAAACAAGAAAATATTCAGTTTTTAATACGACATTTGTAAAGGCATTCAGTAGGCCTACACATTTAGACATGATAATATAAACAAAATTTTTTATTTAACCATGTGATTTTTTTTATTTTAGACACATTTGTGGATTTATTTCATTGGAAAGGCCTAAATGTTTCATAAAATTAAAAAGGCATACTTTTTTTTAATAAAGGTACCTACCCATAGATGTAATGTGACTGCGCAGTGCGCATGCGCACACAGATTCTCTAACAAAGCGCGTGTCCGAATCCAGGTGCTAATTGTGCGACTCTTTTCTTCTCAGCGTAAGTTTCTACAGTTTTTATATTACTGCAGCTGTTCATTTCAGTACAATTTTATACATATTTTAGCGTTTATATTCATGATATATAAATACTGTGTATACATTTGTACACAGAAAGACGCTAACGTCGCCATTTTTAGCCGGGCAGCTAAAGTCGGAAGGAAAATGCTAATTTGGCTAATCATGCTAATGTTAGAGCTCAACACTGCTGTTATGATTTTACTATTATCACTGTAATTATACTTTGTTTATAATAACTTTAGAGAGGTAGTAGCTATGATACATATACTTTTTATTTACTATTAACCTGTGTATTAGTTTGTCATTTACTAGCCAATTTATTATGTAATTATTTACTAGCTAATCTAGCTAGTAATTAGCATGCTCATTTAGCTAGTTTAGCCCCATCACTTTGATGTTTGTTTTAACACATAAGACACTTAAATATTTAGAACAATGAGTTCTTAATTTGTTTTTTAATCTAACTTTTACATATCTAATAAAAAATTACAGATGGGGGAAAAAACAACATACAAAGCTTTAATTTTAACATTTGATGTTTTGCTGGGCGTGAAAAGAAAAAGTTGCAAAATATATATCTTTTCATTTACATGTTTATGTTAAGCTTTAATAGTTTTTTTTTGCAACAATCCATGACATGTTATATTTTATTTTATTTTTCTTTCCCATGAGAAAGCTTTCTTTAGTACACAAAAACTTAAGTTACACTCTGATAAAATGTATTACTACAAGATCAAATGTTCTGTTCTGTGTGTAACAGAACTCAGTTGAAAGTATCAAACTGCCTTTATAGAATTGTTCCAGTTTAATGGCTGACACTTTGATTTGTCTTTGTGGTATAAAGATATTGGTTAATACCTGCTCAGCTGAATCAAAAAAAAAAAAGGCAAATAAAAACATTGTGTCTTACTCCGTTAGTCACCTTCACATTCACACTGCATCATCTCTTTGAAACTCTTAACACATATTTGCACTTCCTCCTTAGCCTGGGGTCACAGTTTCTTTTTATGTTTGTTGCCCCATTGTATCAGGGATCATTTAATTCCCCAACATGATTGATACTGGTGCAGTTTAAATGTGAGTAAAGAAAAAAAAAACAGATTGGTTCTATTAAGAGATCAGTGGCTAGTGGAGACCTCCTACCTAAATAGTCCCACTAGGTGTGTGTTTGCAATGAGCAGTGTCACTTTCTTGCTTATGTTTGAGGTGAAAGAGGCAGTTGCAGAGAATCATCCACAGGTCAAATTAAATAACCAAGATAATTTAAAAAGCATTGACAGTGCAATTTGTCCTCTCGGTGTTATTACTCTGACCCCTATTAGCGTCAATGGGCAGGTTCATTTTACCCTCCACGGCTTGTCGTGATGTTATCTTCTCTCTGCAATGGAAGTAGTGTAAAACAAAGAAAGAAAACCTCTAATGGTCAATTTAGAGACATTAGGTTAGATTACAGTGATTGAGAAGCGTTATGGGGCTTTATTTTTCCAGGCTATTATTCCCACTAAAATTGCAGATGAGGTTAATTATAGAGCAGCAAGTGGAAAAAAAATACAGTGTTACTGCTTAACCCTCCTGTTGTCTTCGGGTCAAAATGACCCGCCACTGTGTTAAACCCCCCCAAAAAATCCCCTAAATGTTATTTTTTTAACTTGAGATTTTAAGACTTTGCCTAGATTGGCCAAAACAATAGAAAAAGTTAAATGTTGCTTTTATTCACATTTCCATGTAAGCTGTACAAAAA